CAGATCCTCCTGAGAGTCAGAGCTGCTCTCCTAGGAACATGCAGAGAAAGTAAAGCCCCAAAACACTTCCTCCCAGCTGCTGGCTGGCTGGGGAACAGGTGCCAGCACATACAGGGAGTTTAAAAATACACTAGAGTAAAATTCTTTCCCCCTCAGCCAATTTGGCTTTGCTACTCAAGATGTTATCTCATGCTATTTCTCCAGCTGTCCAGCAAGTCCACCAGGAAAATCAGGTCAGACAAGATAAGGATTTCCAGAAGAAAAAAAATAAATCTTTTAAAGCAAAAGGTCACAGGCCGTCCTTCAGTGCCCATGAATGGAAGAGTTGCCCTCTCCTTTGCACTCTTGCTTGCAGTGCCTCGCTAGAAAAAGCTCTACAGACATCAGCACAGGAGCTGGAAAACTGCAGCAAGGTTGTTTTCAGGGCAGAACATTGCAAGTCTAGGGCATGTTGCAGACACTGCTAGCAAGGTTTGGCATTAGTTCTCTCTAGGAGGCTCAAGCTGTAACTGCAAACAAATGTGTGACTAACCAAAAAATGCAAGCAGGGAACTGAAAGTTATGTACATTGAGAGTATCCAGGTCTGCTAATGGGCTTTCTGAACTGCAGCCAATCACGAAGAAATTGATAAAGGATTGTAAAATACAAACAAAATTAGCTGCCATTCACACAGCTCACTGCCGAGCATGCTCTACGGTTATTATTTGTCTTCTAGCGAACTTGGCAAACACACCTCAAAGCAGAGCTCATTTCAGTCTCTAGTAAATGTATGAATGAATGAAGTCCCAGAGTAGTTCCTGGATGATGACACCAGCAAGGTGTCATACTGCTAGGGCACAACTGCAAGTGGGCAGTTGGGGAAGGCGCCAGAATAACTGCTCCAAGGCCAGTGTTTCCTGTCCTGTGCTGAGCTCGGTCATTCACACTGAACAGCATGGAGAAGAGGCTCCAATCACTTCATTTGTTCTACCACTTTACCCAGCAAAATCACCCCAAATGCTGTCTCCCTGGGTGCTGAGCTGCCAGCGGCAGATCACGCCCCTCCAGAGAAACTAACTCTGCTGGTTTTCTCTGACACCCCACGTCCCTTTCCCTGAAGAACCCCCAGGTCTCCAAACTGCCTGGCTGTCAGAAAAGCCCATGCAAGCTCAAGCACCGTCCAAGGACAGGGACGAAGTATAAGGCTTCTCACACATGTGGGGAAACTCCCTCACCTGCTTGTGCCCCAGCCTCTCTGTTCCCATACGCCAGGTGGCTGGAGAGACCTCAACAAGGCAGCCAGCCTGCAGTTGCCTTTGCCTCTTGAAAAGCTCAGCTACACAGCTGGCACCCCTATGGCACTACCAATTGAGCCATCTCCAATTAGAGTGGCAAGGGCTTCTCTGACCAAGTTCAAAGCCAAGAGGGTGAAAAGCACTCATGGGGGAAAGCCCACCGTGGGACTGTTTCCCATGCAAGGCTGGGGGATCCAGCAGGAAGTGATATGCAAGAGCACAGCCCCGTCTGGAAAGGTCTGCGAGATGCATTTCAAGCCATACAGCTCTAGAGAACCAAGCCCCGCTCCTCTGCCCCAGCATCCTACCTTCGGGGCTCCCACTGCCTGTGAATGGGCATCGTGCAGCTGGTCCAGTGCAACACTGAAATCCTCCTCAAGCACTGGGAATCCAGCAGTGCAGAAATCTCTCTCCACTTCCTCGCTCAGTCCACCTGGAAAACTGGCAAGGAAAGAGAAGGGAAGAACTCAGGCTTTGCCCCACTCCTGGCATTACTGGGCTG